CTCTCTCTCTCTCTCTCTCTCTCTCTCTCTCTCTCTCTCTGCAACTTTCGAATCACAAAGCGGGAATGAATCTTCCCGCGAAAGTGGGAAGATTCGCGGGAAGATTCATTCCCGCTTTGCCTTTCGGAAGCCTTCCTACAGCAGGCAGCGGGAATGAACCATTTATTTTTCTTATTTCTTTGTTTTTTTTCTTTGTTTTCTTTCCGTTTTTTTCGTCTGTCTCACATGGACGTTCGGGATGCCTGCGCCCGGTAGTCCGAGCCTCGGCACGGATGAGCGTACCGGTCGGCCGAGGCTCGGACTCGATAGCTGAGCGAGGTATTGGTGGTTTAAGAACCTGATAACTTATAACATTAGGATCACAATTACTAGTGATTGGGTTCGGAGGGCCAACAGAGGAAGTATACCCCAAGTGGGAGAATGGTTTGGGGACACCTGGGATAGAGAATCCAGATTAGTCAAGCTTACTGCAAAAGGCAGGCTGTGCTTTTCATCCTGGCTTCTCTCCACAGCAGGTCATGGGGAGCGCTGTAGCTCCCCCCCTTGACGGAGAACCGGAAGAGAGAAGCCTGTTGAGGTAGAGAACGGAATGTCTCCCAGTCCTTGGTGAACAGAAGTCATTTGGCCATTTTAGCGGCAACCTCAATTCTTTTTTATTTTTTTTTGGAGATTCTTTCGTTGAGGGACACTGGACTGGTAAAGGCCCAAGCATATCCAGCGGCTTAGCTCAGTTGGTAAGGCTCGCAAGTGGCATTCAGGAGGTCATGGGTTCAATCCCCATTGGCCTCATGACTTCCTGGGCTTACTTGGCACCCGCTACCCAAGAGATAGACCACTCGCCGATCGGCATCAAACAGAGTCTGCTATGTTCGTAGGGGAGGGGCCTGAGGGGAGGCACGGGGGATTGGTCCGCTTTATCCCTGGTGCTACTGGCCGTCGGCTGGCCCGTATCCTGCAGGCTCGAGGGGCCGTAAAAACACGGCTCTGGTATGCTACGGGTTTCCCCGTATGCCTATAGGTAGGAGTAGTGGTAGGTAGGTAGTGTGAGGAAAAATTGAGAGAAGAGTATAAGAAAAAAAAAATAAAAAAATAAATAAAGGCCCGAGCATGTGTGTACCGGTTTGATTTGTGGGGTGCGTTCCCGGGCCCCTGTCTCTCAAAAGGAATGAATATCGACATTCTCCAAAAAAAAAAAAAAAAAAAAAAGTGGTGGAGCGAGGCCACTTCAGTGCAAGCATGGGCCTCCGGGGGGCAAGGTCCCACTTGCGCAAATTAGGAGATTTGGCCCGTTGATCTTTGCTATCTACGGTCAGTATCTCTTAATTCGTTCAAGTGGGACCTAGCCCCGGGACATCCGTTAAAATTGGAACGGTACAGAGAAGATTAGCACGGCCCCTGCGCAAGGATGACACGCATAAATCGAGAAATGGTCAAAAAAAAAAAAAAAAAAAGAAACGGTGAGCGCGTGTTCCCGCAGAACCTGGCCCTCCCTCCATTACTATTCGTAGTAATGCATGAATTATTCCACCTTCTTTGGGAAGATGCACACTCATTGTTCCTCGTTTTGCTAGTAAGGCGGCGAGGCCCTATGTCCTCATTCCGGGTTTGCCGCGCTTTTTTGAAATCACTGGTCCCAGGCACAGCTCCCCGCGCAAAATGCGCCGCCTTTTTCCCCCTCTTTTTTTTTCCGTTTTTTTAAACAGGGCGATGGCTTTGAGATATCATCACTGAACTGACCGGCCCTGAGTTATTCGGAATGAATGTTTTTGCGCTGGGGCGTGGTCCCACTAGCAAAGAGGGTCGGACTGAATGCCTGAATCTGGACGTGTTTGTGGAGAGGGGCAGGAGATCTAGATTGAACTGCTATTCTGTATCTCTGCATAAAACACATCCCGATTCAGGAGTTTGATCCTATTCCCATCGCTAGTTGGACCTCGGCCCTGATCGTCTGATTTTTGCATCTGGATTCGAGCTTGGGTGTGCATTTCAAAAGCTCGTAGGTGTACCAAAATGCCGCCCTTTTTTTTTTTCTTTTTTTCTTTTTTTCTTTTTTTGGGCCGCGCCACGCTTCGCTGCAGTGCAAGACGAAGGCAACGCTGGAGGAGTCGAGCAGGCAAGCCTACCCCTATGACCCCTCCGTAGCCCTGAAAAATTAATTTAATATCATGTGGCCCGATGGACCACGGATCAGATATTAAGCTGATCAGAACAGATACTACACTTGATCTTAGCCAAAAGGCCGAGAAAGGTATTGCCCTTTTAGTTTTTGACACCGTGGCACAAACGGATCCCTCTGCAATTTTTTTGTTTTTTTTTCTTTCTTTTTTTCCCACTCTAATTTTGACCACTCTGAGGGCACACTCACTCTAGGACTTTTGTACTTGTTTGTGGACGGAATTTGCGGCCAGATGCATACAGGTGTGGCTTAAATTACGGTCTGATGCATTCTCGAAAGTGCTACCGGTAGTGTGGGCAAAAAAAAGAACAAACTGGCAATTTCCCAAATGCATCTGACAAAAAAAACGAGAAAGAAAAAGAAAAAAGAAAAAGCATCTGACAAAAACAAAAAAGAAAAAAAATGCATCTGACATAAATTAAGCCTGGACCTGGATGAATCTGACAGCAATCGTGTCCACAGGTTTGTCGGAAAAAGTCCTTGTTTCTTTTTCTTTTTTCTTTTTTCTTTTTTCTTTTTTTTACCAGAGTAAACATCAAACCAGGTGAGTATGCCCTTTGTGGTGTGATTATATGCCCTGAAATCTGCAAAACGAGCTATATGTGCTGCCAGCAGAGAAATACCAGGTCGATTGTTCCCTTGCCTCCTGTGCTAACGGAGGCGGTTTCTCTGTAGCTCGTTTTTCGGTAATCGCCGCAGTGGAACGCTACGGCGTCTTCATCACGCCGTCGCGATCCAGGGTTCTTCTCCTTCTCCATCTAGCTCTTCGCCATCGCCATCCTCGTTGTGCGCGATTGCCCTGGCTGCGAAGGATTAGGTCTTGAACTTGTAATAATTGGTTTTTGCCCCTCATTTCGCCATCGCCTTCTTCTTCTTCTTCTTGACGAGGGAATGACATACTTTTTTGAATGCGTTAGGTCGTAGCGCTGGCCTCGCAATCTTCTTCTTCTTCTTCTTCTTCTTCTTCTTCTTCTTCTTCTTCTTCTCGTTGATTAAATTGTTTTTACCCCTCATTTCGCCATCGCCATCTTCTTCTTCTTCTTCTTATAGTTGATTCAATTGGTTTTTATCCCTCATCTCGCCATCGCCATCTACTTCTTCTTCTTCTTCTTCTTCTTCTTCTTGTTCGGTCTTCATCCTGCGTGCGATCCGCCTCCTTGAGGAGAAGGAGGTGCTTACCGTCCAGTTGTACCAATTAATCAACAACGTCCAGAGTGGCCGTCCAATCACCATTTGAAGAGAAGTTTTGTAGTTCCATTGACAGAACTTCTTTCCACAGTGTGTGTTCTTTGGCGGGGCGGTCCTCGTGTTCGCTCTCTGCCTTTTGAGCAAGCTTTCTTCTTTCCCTTTCTTTTTTTCCGTTTTCCTTTTAGGTCTTAATAGTAGGCTTTCTTTTTCCGTACTCTGCTTTTTCTGTTTCCTTCCTCTTCTTCTTTTAGTTCGTCTTCTTCGTGGCCCGCTGCCATAATGAGGGAGTGCATCTCGATCCATATCGGCCAGGCCGGGATCCAGGTTGGTAATTCCTGCTGGGAATTGTATTGTTTGGAACATGGAATTCAGCCGGATGGCCGGATGCCTAGCGACGAGACCATCGGATTGGGAGAAGACGCCTTCAACACGTTTTTCAGCGAGACAGGTGGGGGGAAGCACGTGCCTCGGGCCATCTTCGTCGATCTGGAGCCGACTGTCATTGATGAGGTGAGGACTGGCACCTACCGACAGCTTTTCCATCCCGAGCAGCTAATTAGCGGCAAGGAGGATGCTGCCAACAACTTCGCCCGCGGTCATTACACCATCGGCAAGGAGATCGTCGAGGTGTGCTTGGACAGAATCCGTCGTCTTGCGGACAACTGCACGGGTCTGCAGGGTTTCTTAGTGTTCAATGCCGTGGGAGGAGGTACGGGCTCAGGCCTCGGTTCTCTCCTTCTCGAACGTTTGTCTGTGGATTACGGCAAGAAGTCGAAGCTCGGCTTCACGGTCTATCCGTCGCCTCAAGTGTCTACCTCCGTAGTGGAGCCGTACAACAGCGTGCTGTCTACGCACTCGTTGCTGGAGCACACGGACGTCTCCGTCCTCCTCGACAACGAGGCCATTTACGACATCTGCCGTCGATCTCTCGACATCGAGCGGCCCTCTTATACCAATCTTAATCGACTGGTCTCTCAGGTGATCTCCTCGCTGACGGCTTCGCTGCGCTTCGACGGAGCCATCAACGTGGACATCACCGAGTTCCAGACCAACCTCGTTCCTTACCCGCGCATCCACTTCATGCTCTCCTCTTACGCGCCTGTCATCTCCGCCGAGAAGGCTTATCATGAGCAGCTCTCCGTGGCGGAGATCACTAACTCTGCGTTTGAACCGGCGAACATGATGGCTAAGTGCGATCCTCGTCACGGTAAGTATATGGCCTGCTGTCTCATGTATCGAGGCGATGTCGTGCCTAAGGATGTCAATGCCGCCGTCGCTAGCATCAAGACCAAGAGATCCATTCAGTTTGTTGATTGGTGCCCTACGGGATTCAAGTGCGGAATCAACTACCAGCCGCCGACGGTAGTTCCCGGGGGCGATCTCGCTAAGGTGCAGCGCGCGGTGTGTATGATTTCCAACTCTACCAGCGTCGCCGAGGTCTTCTCTAGGATCGACCATAAGTTCGACCTCATGTACGCCAAGCGCGCGTTCGTTCATTGGTATGTGGGGGAGGGCATGGAAGAGGGAGAGTTCTCCGAAGCGCGCGAGGATCTCGCTGCCTTGGAAAAGGATTACGAGGACGTCGGTGCGGAATCTGCTGAGAATGAAGACGAATTCGAGGAGGAATACTGATAGCTTCTTACAAGTATAAGTATAGTATTCTGTGAACGTCGTTGCAGTTTTTTGTTGGATTTTTTTTTTTTTTTTTTTTTCGCTTCTTTCGAAGTAAGTTGGGTGAACTTCGTTGGACTATTTTTTTTGGCTGTTTTTTTTTTGTTTTTTTTTTTTTCGAATTAAGTTGAATGCTCTTGTTCTTTTGTTGTAGATTATGACGAGTAGAAATCCGTTGCAGTTTTTTTTTTTTTTTTCCGCGTGTTTTTGGAATTTTTTTTTTTTTCCGCGTTTTTTTGGAAGGAAGTTGGATTCACTTGTTCTTTTGTTTGTAGAGTATGACGAGTTTTTTTTTTGGCTTCGTTGCAGTTTTTTTTTGGCTTTTGTTTCCCTTTTGTTTTGAACTGAGTAGTATGCGTTTGCTCCGTTGTTTGTAGATTATGACGAGTAGCATTTTGTTAATTTCGCTCTTTTTTTTCTTTCTTTTTGAAATTTAATTCTGAAATTACAGGTGCTCTGTTATTTTATCTGTCGAACATGGCTTTGGGCCCGTTTGGGGTAGGAGGCAAACATGATCAGATGGAGCTGTCCTGTTTCTGGAGGCAAACGGCAATTATGATATCTCTTTTGGATGGGTAATAACGGGAGGGGTGTATGTCTGTGTGTTTGTGTGTGTGTGTGTGTGAGAGAGAGAGAGAGAGAGAGAGAGAGAGAGAGAGAGAGAGAGAGAGAGATTGGTGTTCACGAAACGTCAGGTATGCGTTTTTTTTTTGCCCTTCGCATTTTGTTTTTTTGCGTGTTAATTTTTCGTTTTTTTAATTCATAGGGCCATTAAAGTTGAGAATGAAGAGAAAAAGAGTGGCTCTCCTGGGACGAGGACCCGCTACCGCAAAGGATAAGATCGAGCTCCTGAATCTGGATGTGTTGTACGCGGAGATGCAGAAAAGCAGTTCAATTTCGATTTCCTGCACATTTCCATAACCTCGTCCACATTCAGGCGTTCGATCCGATACTCTTTGCTAGTGGGACCATGCCCTTGTACCTTTCTCGTGCATTTCGTTGTATTTGGTTTTCCTACTTTTTTAGGTTTCTGAATTCGATCGATCTGGCAGTGGATGTATTTTACGTAGAGAAGCAGAAAATTTATCTGCACCTCTGCACAAGCGCGTCTAGATTGAGGCGTTAAATCCAGTCCTTGGTTAGTTGGGCCGCGCCCTAAATCTATGGACTTGGTATTTACAGAAACTGCCAGCAACAGAGCGTCTGGTCCCGACTCCCCACGCACGATAAGTAGTGTTAAAAAAAATCAAACAAATAGTAAAAAAAAAAAAAAAACAAATAGTGTACAAAAAAAATAAACAAAGTGTAAAAAAAAATAAAACAAAAAAACATAATAAGACAAAAGAAGCCCACCAGAGGACTTCGTTAGAGGCGTACACGGACAAGTTCAAGACAAAGAAAGGTAGGGTGAGATCACACTACCGTCTTCCCCCGAACACAACGCACCTTCATTTTGGCTGTATCTGGCCGGAAATATAGCTTGTATACACTCAGGATCAGGGTGCGTTATGTTCGGGGGATGACCGTAGCAAAGAGGATTGGTCTAAACTCGTGAATCTTGACGTGTTTGTGGAAAGGTGCAGAATATCGCTATCCATCTGCTTTTCTCCATCTCTGGTTGAAACCCATTCACATTCAGGTGCTTGATTCAATCGTCTTTGCCAGTGGAATCTCGCCCTTTGTCAATTACAATAAACCGCGGAAAAAAAAACCGAATCTATGGAGCCCATGAACATGGGATATCCTCCATCTTCTCTATTTCACCAGATCCGTCTCCTTCACAGCCAACGCTTTTGTTGTTATTGTCTTTTTTCTCCTTGTCTCATCCCGACTCATCCACGCTCCCCTTATTCATTCTCCGTCCATCACGGCGCTCTAATCTCATTCTTTTGTTGTTATTGTTTTTTTTTCTCCTTCTCTGATCCCGACTCATCCAGGCTCCTCGTACTCACACTCCTGCCATCACAGCGCGCCAAGGGTTTGATCTTGTCTTGTTTCCAGCTATCGTGGGAAGATAAGCGGCTCGGGCTCCGGCCAGGCCATTCTGTTGTCCGTCGCATCACTTCTCCTGCCCCAGGACGGACGAGAGGGAAGGAACATTACCGAGAGGGAAGATAAGCATGTGACCCCTGTGTCCAAGGACGACACGCATAAATCGAGAAATAATTGTTATATATATATATATGTTCCAGTGTGACAATATATGTTCTTTTTTTTCTTTTTTTTCGCTTTTGCGCGCTGATATTTTTGTGAGAATATGTGTACATATATAAAATCCGGTGTTCGGAAGCAAGTGTACGGCCATTACCTGTTTTTTTATTGTGTGTTTTTGTGTTTTGCATTTGATTGTCGGATGAACCTTTGCAGTAAACGAGAAGTTGTATCACGATATTTGAGTTATGTATATGTTTTATTGCTTTAATTTCGTCTTAAAAGTTATATTCAGGCTGTGCTTAGCTCTATATGTCCATCCTCCGCTTTTTCGCATCTGGGCGATTCAACCATATATACTACTATGCAGAAGCACCGGTCGCTATAGCTTTTGCTTCACCACCTCTGTCTCTCTCCTCCTTTTATTTGCGCCAGTCGAAGCCACCATAGCTCTGACATTGCTCTAATAGATGGAGCCGTTGCTTAACAGATTTACCTGGTGTGGTTGTTGCTCGTATCGGCCCTCCTCCTTGCCATAGCTAACGTTCGGATTGGTCAACAGCATCGCGTCGGGATAGAACAGAAGGCGGAGACGCGCCGCTGTGAAGTACAAGTATCGTGCTCTGTGTGGAACGGTTTTGGTGTGGAGTCTGCGACAGTCCAGACGCAAAACAACATGAGCCAGCTCTTTATGTGAAACACTTTTTTTTTCAAATGGAGGATGGCTCGCGGTAGATGAACTTATCTACGTAGAGATGCACTCGGTTGATATCAAGTACGACTACTGTGCTCTGTATGGAACGACGAAATGATCTACCTGTATAGAACAGACGCCAATCAATCAATCAATCAATCAATCAATTAATCAATCAATTAATCAAGCAATCGAAGTATTGTTTAGATGTCTAAGCCGATCGCTGGGAGTGGTTTTTGATTAGTTGGTTGATTTGGTTGATCCCTGTGTTCGTTTGGCGTCGTCTCGCTCATCTGTTGATATGATGGATCGATTGATTTATTGATTGCCGATGACCGATTTTGCTGATTATATTGCTTTTGATTGATTGACGCGTAATTACTATGCTCACTCCGTAAGACGCCGATCAATCAATCAATCAGTCATTGTTGTGACTCCTGTCTTCCCCCGAATAGAACATACGGTCATTGTAGCCGTATTTGGACCTAACTGCAGTACAGATGCAGCGAAAATGACCGTACGTTCTTTTCGGGCGAAGACGGTAGTCCTTCGTTGGGAGTGTTAGGTCTGTTGGTTGATCGATGTGTTCGTCGGCTGCATCGCTTGGTTGATTCATTGATAGATCCAATTGAGTGATTGATTGGTTGATTAATTGGTTGATTGACTGATTTATCTATTGTGATTGACAAGTCGATTCAATGATCTATCGATTGATCCATTGATTGATTGGTTGATTGATTGATTGATTGATGGACTGATTAAGTGGTTGATTAATCAACTGATTGATTGGTTGACTAATTAATCGATTGATTGGTTGATTGATCAATTGATTCATTGGTTGATTGATCGATTGATTGGTTGATAGATCATAGTTTGATTAAGGTGATTGATCGACGGATTGATTTGAGACTCTGTATTCTGAGGTTTCATTCGTTCGGCTGATTGGCTCATTTGATCGATGGTTCATTTAATTGATTGGTCAATTTTGATTGCCTGGTTTATGCGGTCTTGATCATCCGAGGCCGGCCGCAAAAGTTTCGTCATCGAAATATTATCTCAATAGGTCAACCGATCAATCCACACGGGTTCCGACGTTTTGAACGGATACGGACCATAAAAAGGTCCAGATACATCTTGACCGCCAGGTAGTCGAGCGAAGCCCATCAAATGAGGGTTTTTTTTCTTCTTTTTCTTTTTTTTTTCCTCATGGAGAGCCCAATTTGAATTTGAATCTTTCATCTTATTGAGAGTTCGTGCGAAAAGCCCATAGCCTTGGCAATTCTTTTTTTTTTTTTTTTTTTTTTTTTTTAATAAAGCCTTGGCAATTTTCATGCGTTGAAGTTGCATAAAAACAAATAATAATAAAAATCTTGTGTTGAGAAGGTACTTCGTTTTTCGTTTCGCGTTCTTATAAAACCCCTTCGCGTTCTTGTGAAAGGCCCTTTGGGCCTCCCAGAATGATTCAATGCCTCCAGGATTGAAGTCATAATCTGGTTATAGAAAAAGATAAAAATTAAAAAATTCAGTGGAACAAATGTGTAGACCTTTCAGCCAGAAAGCTACGTCTTCACCGGAATAAAACGCCGGTAATTATCGTTGCATCTGGACTGAAAGTTGTGCCAAATGCAGCTATAATTATCTCGCGTTCTATACGGGTTGTCAACAGCTAGGAACAAATGTGTACGCCATTCAGCCAGAAAGCTACCGTCTTCACCGGAATAAAACGCCCGGTAAATATAGCTGCATCTGGACTGAAAGTTGTGACAAATGCAGCTATAATTATCGGGCGTTCCATTCGGGTAAAGACCGTAGGTGTGTGAGGGGGTTCACTCTCTCTTCTCCTTGTCGCAGCATACGTATTACGACGGGATGGGAATTCCTTTCTTTTACAAATATAATAATAATTTATTTTTTTTTCTCAAATTCATCTCACACTAGCTACGCGATTTTCGGAAACGTACGGGCCACTACAGGAGCGCCCAAATTTATCCAACTAGAAACGTTTCTAGTCTATTTTTTTCCGCGGCCGATAGCTGGGCCAAGTAGTGGTGGTGCCCCTCCCCCCCCTACACACACCCCAAAGAATACTTAGGGTCTCGTTAGACACTCCTAAAAGTGCCTGCGTTTAGGATTGCGTCTT